CCACGCGAAGGGGGAGGAGGTTTTGGCGGAAGCGGAGCCGGAGGAGGAGCGGGAGGCGGAGGCGGCGGAGGAGGATTCTGTGAGCGCGGACATCTTTCCGCGGATGTCGGGGCCCTTTTTCCGCCGCGGGCGGCTCATGCCCGACCCCATGGGTGCCGCGTTTGCCGGCGCAGGCTACTGCTGTAGGAAACTGTACGCGGAGAAAGCGGCGGGAGATGCGCGCGGATGGAGTAAGAGGACAGAAGCCGGAGCTACCGAGATGCTCCTAGAGATGGAGGTCGCATGGAGATCGAGCAGCCGCAAGCAGCGGCTAGATCACGGAGCCTGTTTCGATAATGAATAAAATTTGCACGATGAGAGATTACTAACTGGATGAAGGCGCTGCTACGATGATGCCTTCACTTCCATGCCTGCTTTTGACAATGGCTTGCAGGTTCTAACGAAACGGCTCTAATGAGATGGTACCGAAAGCCAGCAGGTAAAAGAGTAGAAGTGCTGTGTTGAGTTCGAATGAAGAGGCTTTCCAAACGACGGATGACTAACTAACTCGAGGGGTAATGGCCACTTTGGAATTCGGAATTCGGAGGCAAGAACTCGGCGGAGAGAATTCGGCAGCGAGGACGACAAAGCACAGCACGAATTCGATGCGCTGTTGTGCGCGCAGTGTGTGCTGAGGAGGAAAACAGCATGCGAGCGCACAAAACCGCGCCGAAAGAAGGCTGTGGAAAGTGCAGCGAGCGCACAACACCGCGTTGTTGTGAGTGCGGGTTGTGAGTCGCATGCATGCACCCGAGCACGAAGCGCGGTGGGTTGCGGAGAAATAGATGACGGAAGTTCGGACCTTGCATTGAGCCGTGAATTAGGCCCGGTGCTGTGCATAACGGTAACCGTTTGGCATAGGCGGCGTTTCCCCCCTAGCATGAGATTAAGAGCGCTGGGATGGGAGAGGCGTCCCCCAAACGTGTCGGGGCGGGGTGCCACAAAGGCGAGGAGCTGAGACGCAACGAAGAGGTGGGATGGGACGGGGCCAGGTAGGACAAAGAGTCGCTCGCATGAGAGGGTGCTGTGCTTCGATAGCAGGCACGAATCTATGCAGGGAGATTAAGCCAGCCCACTACCCTGAGTAATGACGATTCCCACTTTCCCCATGGATGAATGGTTTAGGAGTCCAGCCAGACACCACCATGCGGCTCGCTCTGGCGCACGCACTGTACGCATGTATAGGGCAAGCAGATAAGGGAGACGTGGGTGAAGCGGAAGTTTCCGCAGAGCAGGTGCGGGCCAAGTACGCGTTAGTAGTGTATCTGGGTGAAGAGTATTGTAGCGTGGAGGGCGAAGAGGAGAGAACCTGTGGGAGGGGGAGAGGATGGTGAGGTGAAGGAATTCGGTTGGAAAAGGGGTCCTTGTGGGGGGAAGAGGGAAAATTGTTTTGAGATTGGGATTGGATTGGGGATATTGGTGCCAAAATGTCGGTTTCTGGTTGGTTACCCTACTCTCCGCTTGGCGGCGCGTGAATGCCTATGGTGGGGACGGCGCCAAGTGGGGCAGTTCTATTTCCCACCACGAGCGAAGCAACGGCTCCAGCGAAATGTTTGGCGAAAAGCTTGGAGACATCTTAGCGAGCACGCCCCAAGCTACTATCCGATATACGATAAAGCATTCTTCACTACACTATTGTCAATTTATAATAAGCGACTAGCAGTTCCACAACCTTCTATTCACTCGCCCCCACCGAATCCAGTCACCGTTCGCAACGGTCGCAAGCATTCGCTGGCGGGTGGCAGTTGACTGCATGGTTATCGTTGACAGCTGTTGTCACAATTCTTCCTGGTCGGAAAATCAAAGCATCCCTGGTTCCCATCCATTCCTGCCGCTGCGTAGGAAAGGTAGCGCTTCGCATTTTGCTGCGGCGCGCTGAAATTGTTTTAGCGGCGAACCATTTCCGCCCAACCTTCCTTTCCCACCACCACCCGCCGTCTCTTGTCGTGGACCGTTCTCCGCTTTGTTGGTACACGCAGACCAGACCCCAGACCAGACACGCATCCCCAGACCAGACACGCATCCCCCCATTCCCTTCAGAACGAAACGTTTGCTACCATGCAGTGTTCCGCCTCCGCAACTGGTGGGTGTGTGAAAAGGGGAACCGCCTGCCACCAGTGTCCCATCACAACCGCACCGCCGCAACATTCAACCCACCAACAGCGCAAGAGTGGGAGAGAGCCAAACCCAAGAACTCGAACCGTGCATCCCCCCGGCAGCGAATATTCGCCGATGCACCCCCCTCAGCAGTCGAAACGCATCCGCGCAGTCGTATCCGCGACCGCGACCACATTCCGCATTGAAGGCGCATAATCGCAGACCTGAGCCAGGTCCATATGCATACAGGAGTTTCCATATCCGACTGACGTCAATGACAGCTGATACCTATTCCCCGAACGACATCCTACAGGTGTAGGCGTAGACGAAATTCACATGCCTAGGTGATCAAACACGCACACCCTCCTTGCCATTCAAAGCAAACTCTCAGGCAAATGCTCACACGAAAGTAAATTCGTTTCTTCCTACGTTCACCTTCCGTCAGAAAGACCCTCTCCGTGGAACCCGCTCACTGGACCCCTCCGCATTCCCCGCTGACTGCTTCATACTCCAAACTCCGACCATGGGCGGCATCAATCCGTCTTCGTTCGACTTCAGCTCGCGCCGCCGAGGCCCCGATATTCGCGGTAAACTTTCCGCGCTTGGGGAATCCGGCCCTGCGCTTGATCTCTCCCCAGGAACCGGTACTCACGGCAGCGGGAGCGGTTACAAGGGGCCTCAGTTACTACGATGGATGCCGCGGTCAATCAGCCTCACGGCTGCCAACAGCGCCGGTTCAGGATTGTTTTCGCCAAAAAGCGTCGCAAAATCTCGCGAAAAGGAGGAATCACTTCTCGGGAATGCCGATCTGGGCGAATGGGGAATGGTCGGCGTGGAATCTTCGGATGCCGGCGACGACCTGAACGAATTTGCGAACGGCGGCGGGGTAGCATCGTCGTGGGATTTTGAAGCCCCCACAAGGTCGCGGAGTTTGTCACTGCGAAGTTTGGCGACGTTTAACCTCTCATTCGGCAAGCAGCCGGCCCTCAAGCGAACGCTGTCGTCAATCTCGCTCGAATCTGAACCCGAAGACTCTGGCACGTACGATTTAAGCCCTGTCCATGATCGAACGCTACCCAATCACTTCAGTGGCGAGTTCACTATGAATGATGCTCGGAACGGCGTAGGCAGGAACGCCTTGGTTCCATCGTCAACGTCATCTTCTTTCGCCTCAAAAGCGCAAGACATTTTGTGCGACGCGGAATTCGAATGCGCGTCGCAGACTGCCAGCAGCAGCGAGTGCGGCTCGGTGGTGGGCGACAGCGACTCCAGTGATTGGTCGAACGACAACCATAATGACGTGGCGCGGTCAGATTGGAAGGAGTGGGACGCAGAGGAACGAACCTCGAAGGTTCCCGACGAGAAAAAAGAGGAGAAGCGGATCGCATTTGTTCGCGAGTTTTTTCCCGCCAACAGAGCTGGGCATATCCGGCGGTTCCTCTTAAAGCGCTTCGGCGGGAGTCGGCGGGAGAAGATGCACGTGTGGGCGTAGACGAGCCGGGTCGCGCGGATTCCTGCTTAGGCGTAGGCGATTCGTAGCATGCCAGTTCGGTAGTCACGGTTGGCTTGGGTGTCACAGTGTTGCGCGTGTATGGCACACAGGCAGAAGGGAGCAGCACTCGAACCGCATGCGCTGCGGTTCCGAGTCTCCTATTGGCTGCGCAGCGAGCGATGCGTTCCCAGTCAGAAGTAGCAGCGTAGTAGGAGGAGGACAGCAGCAGCAGGAGCAGGAGCAGCAGCAACAGGAGCAGCAAAGCAGCAGCAGCAGCAGCAAAGAAGCAGCAGCAGCAGCAAAGCAGCAGCAGCAGCAGCTCGTAAAGCAGAAACCTCACGAGCTGCAACCAAATAGACTAGCAAAATAATAACCCTGGAAGCCATAAAGAAGGGTCGGCGACCTAGCAGAGACGGGAGCTCAAGCCACCTTCTGAAAACATATATTCCCTGACACATACATACAGACTCAAGCATGCCGGTTACAAATCTCTCCCCTCCAAAACACCCTCCCCTCTCATTTCTCCCTCCTCCCTTCCCTCTTGTCACACTACCTTTGGCCCTTATATATGCAGCAGATAGCTGCTATGTTGGTTTGCCTCTTATCCAGCTTAGACAAACACCTCGCTGTCTGTCAGTCTATTGTTAGTAGTGTGCCTGGTACGCCGCTATGCCTGTAGTGAATTATGCAGTGAGGCAACCATATTTGCAGTGGGAAGCGCCCAAGTATAGGCCGTCATTAGCTAGAGCAAAGCTACCGCCAATAACGAAGGCTATCCCAATAATGTTAAAATAAACAGGTATTGAAACAAGCATACAGAGGGAGAGGTGCATGCACAGCTATTCTGATAATTTGCTATAGAGTACTGTGTGGGAGATAATTTCTGCCAACTGGAAATACGTCCCAAGGATGAACGAGAGCAAGTGCTGTTAATACTTCCAATTAGACTCTATCGAGGATGACAGACCTCCTCTAAGCAGGTTTGTGCCAACCAGAATCACAGGCAACCCTGGGATTGATGGGCGAACAGTTTTTGCGAAATTTCCTTTGCTAAGCCACTGGTTTAGGGTTCTGGGGAGCTCAAGGTTTAGCCTAAGTCAGTTTGATGAAACGCGCTGTGTTTCCCACACCAGAAATCGCATTGTTAGACACAACAATTTTGAGCCGTCGATTCGTCAGCCGTTGCGCGATCTCGCCGTTCCGTCGTCCGCTCCTGCCGTGATTGCCGGCAGCCTCTTAATTCGAGCATTCGTTCACCATGGCGCCCCGATTGGAGGGCGCCACGTCCTCCGCATCGCAATCCGTAGGCGGCCAATCCCAGAAGCATCAGCAGCTGACGCGCCTCGTCCCAAAAAAAACCTACAAGCCTCTTCTAAGCCTCGAGGTCTTCTACACAGGCGGCCACGTGGCAGTCTTTCCGGATGGACGCCACGTGGCATGTCCTTGCGCGGACGCGGTAAAGATCGTCGATCTCACCACGGGGAAGGTCGTGCGGACGTTGGAGGGCGACGGAGAGCCAATCACAGCCGTCGCCGCGAGTCCAGATGGCGAGTCCGTATTGGCCAGCTCGCGCAGTCTGCAGACGCGCTGGTGGAACTGGCGCACTGGGGAGTGCAAGCGGTCGTGGAAGGTGAGGGGGGTGGGGAAACGGGGAATGCGGGACGGGAGGCAGAATGGCGGACGGGGAAATGGGGGATGGGGGATGGGGGATGGGGAACGGGGGAATGGGGGATGGGAGGCAGAATGGCGGGCCGGGGAATGGGGGATGGGGGATGGGGAACGGGGGAGTGGGGGATGAGGGAGAGGCAGCGCAGCCTGCAGACGCGCTGGTGGAACTGGCGCACTGGTGCAAGCGGTCGTGGAAGGTGAGAGGGGTGGGGGGGGGGGAAGGGGGGGAAGGGTGGAGGGAGGCTGGATGGGGAAAGGCGTGAGGGGGAGGGGGGAGAGGCGGCGCACGGGGGAGTGCAAGCGGTCGTGGAAGGTGGGGCGGGGGAGGGGGTTGAGGGAGCGGAGGAATGGGGGGAGGGGGAAAAGGGGAGGAAGTGAAGGGGGAAAGGCGTGAGGGGGAGGGGCGAGAGGCGGCGCACGGGGGAGTGCAAGCGGTCGTGGAAGGTGGGGCGGCTGGGTTTTAAGGGGGAGGGGATGGGGAGAGGGGACGCGGGGGAAGGGAGAGAGGCAAAGGCGGGTGGAGGAGGGAGAGGCGGCGCACGGGGGAGTGCAAGCGGTCGTGGAAGGAGCGGGGGAGGGAAGGTAGGGGGAGAGGATTGAAGGGGGGGAGGTAGGAAGGGGTCGTAGGAGGGGAGAGGGCGGAAGGTGGAGTGGAGGGAAGGGAAGGGGCGGAGGAACGGGTGGGAAGGGAAGGGCTGAGGATAGGAGGGAGAGGCAGCGCTCGGAGGAGTGCAAGCGGACGGGGAGGACGCGGCAATCATCATCGGCCGCGCTGGCTGGTCTTCCCTTCCATCCTCACACACACACGCTATTTCCCCTAAACCCTTTTCGCGCACGCCCTCCCTGCGCCGCGCCCCTCTCCTTCTCCCCTTCTGCCACCCGCCTCCGCCCCCAATCTCTTCCCCAGGCGCATCCTGCACCAGTGTCGCGTCTGGCAGTGAATGCGAATGGGGGGCTGCTGGCAACAAGCGGGGCGGACAGGGGCGTGCGCGTGTGGGACACTGTAGGGTAACCCCTCCTTCCCTCCATGCTCTCCTGTTGTTCCCTCCTCCAGGCACACCCCGCGCCAGTGTCGTGCCTGGCAATAGACGCGAGCGGGGGGCTGCTGGCGACAGGCGGGGCGGACAGGGGCGTGCGAGTGTGGGACGTCTGAAATACCCCCCAATCCCCCCTATTCCCTCCTGCCCCTCCGTGTTCCCCTCTGTTGCTTCTCAACCCTCCCCTTTCCTCAGGCACACCCCGCGCCAGTGTCGTGCCTGGCAATAGACGCGAGCGGGGGTCTGTTGGCGACAGGCGGTGCAGACAGGGGCGTGCGAGTGTGGGACCTTGAGGCGAATGCATGCACGCACTCGTTCACGGGCATGGGGGGCGTGCTGTCGCAAGTGGCATTCCATCCCGACCCGAATCAGCTCCTGGTGAGTATCAAGTCGACATCCCCTGGAGAGTATGTGGCAGCCAGCTAAAAGAGAGCACAGAGGCAGATGGGCAGGCAGGCAGGCAGAGGGGTGCGTGCGAGTGTGGGACCTGGAGGCGAATGCATGCACGCACTCGTTCACGGGCATGGGGGGGGTGCGATCTTGCGTGGCCTTCCATCCCGACCCCAACCAGCTCCTGGTGAGTGTGTATGGGACATGCACACACACATGGGTAAACAGGGGCGAACAGTGAGTGTGGGACTCGGAGGCGAATGCATGCACGCACTCGTTCACGGGCATGGGAGGCGTGCTGTCATGCGTGGCGTGGCGTTTCACCCTGACTGACCCCAACCATTGCTGGTGGGTGCTTCAGATAGTAGTTGAGTCATTCATTGCACAATGCCTGACTCTTTTGTCACGACTTTTGTGTGTGTTTCCTGGTGCACAAGCTCTCTCCTCTCCTGCCATCCTGCCTCCTTTCCTTTCCACCCCACCCCATCCCCTCGTATTCAAAACAGCTTGTGGGAGCGTCAGAGAGCGGGTTGGTGCGCGTGTGGGATCTGGTGACCAAGCGCCCAGCAGCCACTCTTTGCTGTTTTCCCCCTCTCCCCACCCGTTTCCCCCTCCCTCCCCCCCCCCCCCCCCCCTTCACCCTCCTCGCCACTCCGCATCAGCTGGTGGGAGCGTCAGAGAGCGGGCTGGTGCGGGTGTGGGATCTGGTCACCAAGCGCCCAGCAGCCTCTTAATGCTGTTTCCCCCCTCTTCCCCTGCCATCCCCACCTCTCTTCCCGCGTCTCTCCCCCCTCACTCCACATCAGCTGGTGGGAGCATCAGAGAGCGGATTAGTGCGCGTGTGGGATCTGGTCACCAAGCGCCCAGCAGCCTCTCTGGATAAGCACTTCTCCACCGTCACTGCCATCGCCTTTTCACCGTCCGGATGGCTGCTGCTCACTGCTTCCCGTGACAAGGTCAGTCAACCAACCAACCAACACCTTTCCCCCTGGCCTCTCTGCACAAGCACTTCTCCACATTCACTTCTATCGCCTTCTCGCTCTCAGGCTGCCTGCTGCTCATCGCGTCACGTGATAAGATGGGTGGAGTGGAGTGATTGGTCCGTCTAGGTCCCTGTAGGTCCCTGTAGGTCCCTGTAGGTCCCTGTAGGTCCCTGTAGGTCCCTGTAGGTCCCTCTAGGTCCCTCTAGGTCCCTCTAGGTCCCTGTAGGTCCCTCTAGGTCCCTGTAGGTCCCTCTGTGCTTGTGTATCGCCGTCAGAACTTATCACTGAGCTGACAGTGGGTGGGAGGAACGACCATTTCTCACTTCAATATCTCCGCCTCCCCTTTCCTTTCACTTCCTCTTCTCCCTCACCTCCCTTCTTCTCCCTCCCCACCTCCTTCTCCCTGCCTTTGTCTCAGGTTGTCAACATTTGGGATATTCGCACCTACGCCCACGTCACCACCATCCCCGTTTTTGAGTCCCTCGAAGGCCTCGCTATAGTCACACCCCCTATAGCCCCAGACTTTCCTGCCATTCCCCCCACTGCTGCTGCCGCTGCTGCTGGGGGGGAAGCAGGAGGGGGAAAGGGGGAGAAGGGGAGGAAGGGGGAGAAGGGGAAGAAGAGTAGGGAGGAGATGGGGGAGAAAGAGGTGGTGTGGTTTGTGAGTGTGGGAGAGAGGGGTGTGATGCGGTTGTGGCGGTCCGACAAGTCAACGGCGGTCCTGGAGCAACGGGCAGCTGAGGTGGCGGGCGGGCAGCAGAAAACGGGCGCGGCAGAGGCCAATGAGGAGGCGCCAGCTGGCGGCGGGTTTTTGTCGGCACAGTTTTTGGGCTTGGATGGAGGAGGGAAGGGAGGGTGCAGGTTACTGTGTACCACTGCAGATCAACGGCTGCTGATATATCAGCCTGTCAATGTGACTGTAACGAAGCAGCAGCAGCAGCAGCAGCAGTTTCTTGCCGTGTGTCAGCAGCTGATTGGTCAGAATGACGAGATCGTGGACGTGCGATTCGTCCTTGATCCCTCCTCCTCTTCTTTCGATGCAGTGGGAGAGGGAGATGAGGACGAGGAGGAGGCTGAGAGGGTAGGGATGGGAAGGGAGGGAGAGGAGGGTGAGGAGGGAGAGGAGGGAGTGGACGGAGGGGAGGGGATAAGGAAGGCGTTGAGAGGGGTGGAGAGGAATCTCCAGCTGGCGGTGGCGACCAATAGCGAGCAAGTGCGCGTGTACGACGTGGCGACCGCCAGCTGTCACCGCTCCCTGGTTGGCCACTCGGACATTGTGCTCTGCATCGACGCTTACCCACACCCCTGCTCCGTGTCACGTGCACTTCTTGCCTCCCCTGCTGCTGCTGCTGCTGCTGCTGCTGATGGCGCTGCTGGTGGTGCTGCTAGTGCTGGTGGCGATGGTAGCGGCTCTTCAGATTTGGTTCCGGTTTCTCTGCTCGCCTCGTCTGCTAAAGATCACTCTGTAAGCAACTCGCTCTTCTACTCGTGCTCTTCCGCGCCCATTCTCCACCGCTCTCCCCCTCCCCTTCTAACCTTTCCACATGCCCCTCCCCCCCTTCCAATACGCCCCTTGCCCCTCCTCCCGCCCTTCGAGTGCACTTGCAGTGCATTTGTGCTGGTATACCACATGCCACAAGGAATAACGTAAGGCCACATGCCACAAGGAATAACGTAAGGCCACATGCCACAAGGAATAACGTAAGGCCACATGCCACAAGGAATAACGTAAGGCCACATGCCACAAGGAATAACGTAAGGCCACATGCCACAAGGAATAACGTAAGGCCACATGCCACAAGGAATAACGTAAGGCCACATGCCACAAGGAATAACGTAAGGCCACATGCCACAAGGAATAACGTAAGGCCACATGCCACAAGGAATAACGTAAGGCCACATGCCACATGCCTTCCCATTTATCCTCCCTTCTCCTGATTGACCTTCCCCCCAAATCCCTTCTCCTTGTATCCCATCCCTTCCCACCCATTCCTGCCCACCCATCCCGTGCCGCCCATCCCTGGCCAATCAGGTGCGGGTTTGGGACGTCACCACTGGCACCTGTCTAGCAATGGGATCAGGACACGTGGCAGCAGTTGCTGCTGTGGCGTTCTCTCAGAGGCCGCCGCCAGATCAGCCAACAGGAGGGAAAGGGGGAGGGGCAGGGCCCTTCTTGGTATCTGGTTCCAGGTATGTACATGTGTGAGTGAGCTGAACAGTGTACCGTGTGTGATCAGTGTGCGGGGTGTTACTTGTGTGTATGTTTAACATACCAAGCCTCAAAACTGCTTCCCCTCACTCACTCTTATCCCCCTCTCCTCCCCAGCTATCACACTCTCAGGTTATGCCTCTCCTGCTCCTCTTCCTGAGCAGCAGCGCTTCCTCTCGTTTTGAGCCACCTCAAAAACAAGCCCCCCCCCCCACTTACCCTGCCCGTCCCTCTCCCCGTCACAGTGATCGCACGCTCAAAGTCTGGCCGCTCGCGCTCCTCCTCTCCTCCTCAGCAGCAGCGCTGCCTCGCGGGAGGGGCGGCGTGCTGCGTCTCAAGTCAGGTGCTACAGTGGCGGCACACGACAAGGACATCAACGCTGTAGCTGTGGCTCCCAATGATGGCCTTGTCTGCTCTGGCTCCCAGGTGAGGGCGAGCAAGGTGTGGTGTGCCCAAGGTGTTATTCTCAAGATCAAGTCAAGTCAAGTCAAGTCAAGTGCAACAGCAGCAGCACACGACAAGGACATTAACGCTGTAGCTGTGGCGTCGTGTGTTCCGGCTCCCAGGTAAATCATCTGAGTGCATCAAGTCAAGTCAATTGAAGTCAAGTCAAGTCAAGTCAGGTGCTACAGCAGGTGGGTCTCAGGTTGTTCCCAGGTGGGTCTCATGTGATTCTCAGTTGGATCTCAGTTTTTTCCCAGGTGGATTTTTCGGGGGCTTTTCATGTGGATTTCAGGTGATGCTCAGGTGGGCAATATCTCTCCTTCACCTCCCCCCCCTCTCTCCTCCCCTCTCCACTTCCCGCTCACCTTTTCCCCTCTACGGGACCGCACAGCCAAGGTGTGGCGTTTGCCTGATTTGTCCCCAGTTCTCACATTAAGAGGCCACAAGCGCGGTGGTGTGTGGAGCATGGCCTTCTCCCCCGGGGACCACTGTGTGCTCACGGCATCGGGTGATGCTCCTTCTGGTTTCCCCCCTTGCTCTCTCCCCCCCCCACAGGGCCGCACGGCCAAGGTGTGGCGTCTGCCTGATTTGTCCCTTTCTGTGACACTGAGAGGCCACAAGCGCGGTGGTGTGTGGAGCGTGGCCTTCTCCCCCGGGGACCACTGTGTGCTCAGCTCACAGCATCGGGAGACGCCGCGTGCTCTACTAACACCCTTCTTCCTGCGTCCGTCTTTCCTACTCCCGCTCACCGAACAGGACCGCACGGCCAAGGTGTGGCGTCTCCCTGACCTCTCCCTCTCGGTCACACTGCGAGGCCACAAGCGTGGCGTGTGGAGCGTGGCCTTCTCCCCCGTGAACCGCTGTGTGCTCAGCTCACAGCATCGGGGGACGCCGTGACTTTTGAGTCGACTCAAAAGTCACCCCGTTGTGTGCTCAGCTCACAGCATCGGGCGACGCCACGTGCCTTCCGAGTCCACTCAAACTCACTGGGCCCTTGAAAGTGAGGAACAAACGCCCTTAATTCTGCTCCCCTTCCTCCTCCTCCCATTCTTCCCCCAACAGGACCGCACGGCCAAGGTGTGGCGCCTGCCTGATTTGTCCCTTTCTGTGACACTGAGAGGCCACAAGCGTGGCGTGTGGAGCGTCGCCTTCTCCCCCGTGGACCGCTGTGTGCTCACGGCATTGGGTGACGCCACATGCCTTCTGAGTCCCCTCAAACTCACCTGGGCCCTTGAAACGCCCTTAAGGGCCCTTGAAAGCAAGGAACAAACGCCGTTAATTCTGCTCCCCTCCCTCCTCCTCCCATTCTTCCCCCAACAGGACCGCACGGCCAAGGTGTGGCGCCTGCCTGATTTGTCCCTTTCTGTGACACTGAGAGGCCACAAGCGTGGCGTGTGGAGCGTCGCCTTCTCCCCCGTGGACCGCCGTGTGCTCAGCTCACAGCATCGGGGGACGCCGTGACTTTTGAGTCGACTCAAAAGTCACCCCGTTGTGTGCTCAGCTCACAGCATCGGGGGACGCCACGTGCCTTCTGAATCCACTCACCTGGACCTCTGAAAGTGAGGAACAAACGCCCTTAATTCTGCTCCCCTTCCTCCTCCCTTAATTCTGCTCCCCTTCCTCCTCCCCCCATTCTTCCCCCAACAGGACCGCACGGCCAAGGTGTGGCGCCTGCCTGATTTGTCCCTGTCTGTGACTCTACGAGGCCACAAGCGTGGCGTGTGGAGCGTCGCCTTCTCCCCCGTGGACCGCTGTGTGCTCACGGCATCGGGGGACGCCACGTGTCGCATCTGGGCCTTGGCAGATGGCAGCTGCTTGCGAACGCTGCAGGGCCACGAGGCGAGCGTGCTGAAAGCGATATTCGTGACCCGAGGTACACAGGTAGGCCGTGGTTTGTGTGTGGTGTGCTGTGGGGTTCTGTGTGCTGCATTAAGTCTGTTTGTGTGCTCACAGCGTCGGGGGACGCCACGTGTCGCATCTGGGCGCTGGCAGACGGCAGCTGCTTGGGAACCCTTCAGGGGCACGAGGCGAGTGTGCTGAAGGCCATCTTTGTCACCAGAGGCACTCAGGTATGTGGGCACTGGCTCTTCTGTGGACGTGTCGAGTCGAGTCGTGTGCTGTGTGGCTTTTGAGTCGACTCAAAAGTCACTGGCTCTTCTGTGGACGTGTCGAGTCGAGTCGTGTGCTGTGTGGAGTGGGCTGGGCGCATCTGGGCGCTGACAGACGGCAGCTGCTGCTTGGGAACCCTTCTAGCGCACGGGGCGAGCGTGCTGAAAGCGATATTCGTCGCCAGAGGCACTCAGGTATGTGGGCACTGGCTCTTCTGTGGAGTGGGATGGGTGCATCTGGGCGTTGGCAGACGGCAGGCAGCTGCTTGAGAACCCTTCAGGGGCACGAGGCATCGGTGCTGAAGGCGATATTCGTTACCAGAGGCACGCAGGTAGGGCATGTATGGAGTGAGATGGTATTCCCCGGCCGCTGTCCTGCCGCTGCTCATGCCTATTCTATCCCTCTTCTCCCTCATTTCGTCCCCCCTCTCTCACACCTCTCCCTCTCCCTCTCACTCTCACCCTTTTCCACCCCTTTGCCCGTTTCGTTCCCCCTCTCGCCTCCTTGGTTGGCCCAGGTGGTGTCAACGGGTGCAGATGGGCTGCTGAAGCTGTCACACTCCCCCACTCTCCCTGCTCTTCTCACTTCGTCCCCTCCCCCTCCCTCGTTCTCGCTTACCCCCAGGTGGTGTCAACAGGAGCAGACGGGCTTCTGAAGCTATGGAGTGTGAAGGGCGGGGAGTGTGTGAACACGTTCGATGAGCACGAGGATAAGGTGGGAATAGAGGTTGCTTGCAGGGGTGCTGGTGTTCCGGCCAGTGACGTGTGACTAGGGGGGCAGAGGACTTCGGGGTAGAGCAGCACGAGGGGAGAAGGAAGCTGTGGGGTGTGAAGGGCGGGGAGTGCGTGAACACGTTCGATGAGCACGAGGATAAGGTGGGACTAGTGGTTGCAGGGGTGTTGGTGTTGGTTTTGCAACCAGTGGGTGTGGCTAGCGGGGGCAGGGGTGTTCATCTCATCTTGTGGTTCTTAAAGGGGTAGAGAGCAGAACAAGGGGGGGAGAGTGTGAAGAGTGAAGGGCGGGGAGTGTGTCGTGTCAACACATTCAATGAGCATGAGCATGAGCATGAGCATGAGCATAAGGTGTGAATAGGGAACCATAAAAAAGAGGAGAGCGTAGCTGGGGGGCTATATTCTGAGGTGCCTCCGCAGAGATGGGTGTAAGGAGGGGGGGGGGAGGGGGACCTCTGCTCGTTTGATGCCATTTCGTTGCCAAAAACGCAACGCAATGGCATCTGCTCGTTTGCGTTGCCACCACTGCTAGGAGCTCGGACTGGGATGTCCCCAAAACGCATTCTTCCTTCCTCCCCCCCCTTTCTCTCCCCCCCCCCCCCCCCCCCGCCCCCTCAAATACTTGCCTTTCTCTGCTGCCCGCAGATATGGGCGCTGGCAGTGAGCCCGGGGTCGGAGATGCTGGCGACACAACTGGTCCTGCCAACCCCCCTTCCCCCCTACCCCCCGCCTCCCCCGCCCCCCTCCCTCCAACTTCGCCTCCCACTACCCTCAGATATGGGCGCTGGCAGTGAGCCCGGGGTCGGAGATGCTGGCGACACACCCACCTCTCGTTGGCGACACACCCACCTCCGCCTCTCGTTGTTCTCAGATATGTGCGCTGGCAGTGAGCCCGGGGTCGGAAATGCTGGCGACGTGTGAGGCGCCTCAAAAGCCACCCATCCTTCGTCATTCACCCCCCTCTCCCTCTCTCTTCCCATCCCCCACGTCCGTCTCTCTCTGCCCGCAGATATGGGCGCTGGCAGTGAGCCCAGGGTCGGAGATGCTGGCGACAGGTGGCAGCGACTCATTGGTGCACGTGTGGCAGGACTGCACGCAGCAGGAGCAGCAAGAGGCGGCTCTGGAGCAGGTGAGGGACTGTGGTACACTCTGTACTCGTTATGGAGCAGGTGAGGGACTGTGGTACACCGTACTCGTTATGGAGCAGGTGAGGGACTGTGGTACACTCTGTACTCGTTATGGAGCAGGTGAAAACAAAAGCAAGTGGCAGCCATGTAGTACGCTGGGCGAGCAGCAGTCAACCTTTCATTATTGTGAACGGAATAATGCTGCTCCCCACCATCCATCCATCCATCCATATGGCAAAATGCAAGCAATCTTGACAAGTCTATTGAATCTAGACAGTGCATCTGTAGCCAATGACTCTCTTCTCTTGAGTCGACTCAAAAGTCTATTGAATCTAGACAGTGCAACTCGTGGCAGCTATTGTAGCCAATGACCCTCTTCTCTTCTGTCCCAACTCTCTTCCCCCCCCCCCCCGTACCCCCAACACATAAACATCTTCAACCCAGGTGAGGGAGTGCAGCAGGAGCAGGCGATGCGCAGCGCGGCTGTAGCTAATGATTCTCGCCCTCTCCCTGCCCACTGCTCACTCCCACCTTGTCTCCTCCTCCTCCTCCTCTCCCCCCCTTCCTCACCAGGTGAAGGCGGTGCAGCAGGAGCAGGCGATGCGCAACGCGGCTGTAGCGGAGGACTATGTGACGGCGCTACAGCTGGCGCTGCAGCTGCAGCGACCCGCCACCATGGCCGCGCTGCTCTCCGACCTCATGAAGTGAGTCGGTTGGTAGGCTCGCTCCTGGGAGAGGGGTAGGGGGAGAGGGAGGGGGAGGGAAAAGCGGGAGACATGGTGTGTTGCAACAGAAAGAGGGGCAGCTGCAGCTGCAGCGACCCGCCACCATGGCAGCCTTTCTCTCTGACCTCATGAAGTGAGTTTGCCGCCCTGTATGGGTGACTCTCTCTGTGTGTGCGTGTGAGTGTTTGCGTGCACGCCACGCTGCAGCTACAACGACCCGCCTCCATGGCAGCTTTGCTCTCTGACCTCATGAAGTGAGTCGGTTGGTAGTTCACGGGTGAAGTGGGTGCGCTGCTTCCCAACTCCCAACGCGGCTGTAGCGGAGGACTACGTGACGGCGCTACAGCTGGCGCTGCAGCTGCAGCGACCCGCCACCATGGCCGCCCTGCTCTCCGACCTCATGAAGTGAGCTGGGAATGTGTGGGAGTATATGCAAGCACATGGGGAAAGTAGTTCAGTGTATTGAAACTGCTGTTGGGAATTCCCGACTGCAGCTGCAGCTGCAGCGACCATGGCCGCCCTGCTCTCAGAAACTGCTGTTGGGAATTCCCGCCACCATGGCAGCCCTGTCAGCTGCATCCTTCTCCCTTCCTTGGCATGGCCGCCCTGTCAGCTGCATCCTTCTCCCTTCCTTGGCATGGCCGCCCTGTCAGCTGCATCCTTCTCCCTTCCTTGGCATGGCCGCCCTGTCAGCTGCATCCTCCTCACTGCGCTGATGAAGGCTTTGTTGCCGAAACGCGTACGCACGCACATCCCAGGCTTGCTGTGATCGAATCCGACCTTAAACAACACCATGGCAGCCCTATCAGCTGCATCCTCCTCACTCTTCTTCCTTCCCCTTCTTCTCCCATCCCTTGTCTCTCCCTCCCCCTCTCTCCCCTCTCACAGGTAGGAGGGCGCGGAGGAGAGGATAGGAGGGGCGGTGGCAGGGTTAGAACCCTCACAGCTGAGGCAGCTGCTGCGGTATGCGCGCGAGTGGAACACTCCCCTTCACTCCTCACTCTCTTCCTCCCCTCTCTCCCTCTACCCAACCTCTCCCCATGGCAGGAAGGAAGGTGCAGAGGAGAGGATAGGAGGGGCAGTGGCAGGGTTGGAGCTATCGCAGCTGCGGCAGCTGCTGCTGTATGCACGCGAGTGGAACACCAACGCTAAGCTGTGTCTGTCCGCTCAGAGACTGCTGGCTGCTGTGCTGAAGCACCACCCTCCGTCAACGCTCATGCAGGTAGGGAGTGGGGATTTGGGGGGTAGGGGAGGGTGGGGGGAGGGTTTGGCTGGAAGAGGATGAGAGACAGCTGCTGCTGTATGCACGCGAGTGGAACACCAACGCTAAGCTCTGCCTGTCGGCTCAACGCTTGCTGGCTGCAGTGTTGAAGCACCACCCCCCAGCAACGCTCGTGCAGGTAGGGAGTGGGGATTTGGGGGGTAGGGGAGGGTGGGGGGGAGGGTTTGGCTGGAAGAGGATGAGCGGCAGCTGCTGCTGTATGCACGCGAGTGGAACACCAACGCTAAGCTCTGCCTGTCCGCTCAACGCTTGCTGGCTGCCGTGCTGAAGCACCACCCCCCAGCAACGCTCATGCAGGTACGGGGTGGGGAGGGGGTGGTAGAGAAGAGGGGAGGGGGACTTGTTAGAAGCAGAAGGAGAGACAGCTGCAGCTGTATGCGCGCGAGTGGACCACCAACGCCAAGCTCTGCCTGTCCGCCCAGAGACTGCTGGCGGCTGTGTTGAAGCACCACCCCCCGTCAGCTCTCATGCAGGTAAGGGACTGGGTAAGACAGAATGAATAGAATGGAGTGGACTGGGTAAGACAGAATGAATAGAATGGAGTGGACACCAGCTGCAGCTGTATGCGCACGAGTGGAACGCCAACGCCAAGCTGTGCCTCTCGGCTCAGAGACTGCTGGCTGCTGTGCTGAAGCACCACCCTCCATCAACGCTCATGCAGGTATGGGACTGCGGCAGCTGGGGGGTGTGAAAGGAGGGGAGTGGAAGTAGTACAGAAGCAACAGAGTGAGAGGCAGCTGCTGCTGTATACGCGCAAGTGGAATGGAGCACCCACACCAAGCTATGTATGTCTTTCCTCCTCAGGGCCATAAACCCATCATTGCTTGCCCGTGCTTCCCTTAATTCCCTCCCAAACCATCTCAACCATACACTTTTACCCATAACCCCCCTGCCATAAACCCGTCCCGATACGTCCCTCCCTCCTTCATTGCTCCCTACCCACACCCCCTTACCTAATAACCCCTACCGATACTCGTTTGCCATCTCCTTACTGCCCCACCAACCCCCAACTGCCACGTCACGCAGATCCCAGGAATCGGGGAGATTTTGGATGGGCTGCAGCCATACACGCAGCGCCACCTGGCGCGTCTTGAGCGCGTGCTGCGCAGCTCCTACCTCGTTGACTACACTCTCGCCGCCCTCACCATGCTACAGCCGACCGCTGACCTGGCGGTGCATGCTGACGTGGTGCTACAGCCGGGAGCTGAGCTGGCACTGACGGGTGGCAAAGCTGCCCTGGCGCTACAGGCCAAATCTGCCGCCCAGGAGAGGCCGTCTGGATTGGAAGTATTGAAGGAGAAGGTGAGGAGGGAGAGTGAGAGGAGGGAAAGAGGTGAGAGAGGGGGAGGGGAGGAGGGGAAGGGAGATGGGAGTGAGAAGGGTGGGGGTGACTATAGCGAGGTGGATGCTGCTATGAAGATGTGGAGGTATCTGGAGAGTAAGAGAGAGGAGGGATTGAAAGGGAAGGAGGGTAAGGGAGAGGGAGAGGAAGAGGAGAGGGAGGATGGGGAAGAGGAGAAGGAGGAAGGAGAGGAGGAAAGGGAGGAAGGAGAGGAGAATGGAGGGGAAGTAGAGGGGAGTGAGGAGGAAGAGGAGGATGTTGAAGGGGAGGAGGTCGAGGAGGAGGAAGAAGAGGAAGAGCAGGAAGAGGGGGAAGAGTCAGAGGAAGAGGTGGATGAAGAGGAGGGGGAAGAGGAAGGAGAAGAGGAAGGAGAAGAGGAAGAGTCAGAAGATGCAGAAGAAGGGAGCGGGGAGGAGGAAGAGAAGCGAGTGGGTGCCGGTCACAAGACCTCAGTTCAAACAACACACAAGGGACCAGCAGCACAGAAGCGAGCTTCCAAGAGCGGACCACGCGCAGCAGCAATGCATGCTGTTCCGAGCAAGAAGCAGAGGATGAGATGATGTGCTAAAAAAAAGCAAAATACACAGAAGCAGATAACCTCTTGGCTGATTTTGAGCACGGTGGATGATACCAACCAACAATACGTTCTTCAAATTGCAATTAATTCTGTCCAATTTGAGCATTTTTCCTCACATTCAGCGTCATGCGATTTTTGGAATTCAAAGCTGCGTGCAATATGCTCTAAAAAAATGAGGATTTAGGAGAGATGGGCACGCGAGCAGATTCGATTCGACTAAATCGTCCTCCCATCCCAAGTACAGCTCATCCCTGTCCAAACAGATTCTAACACCAAACATACAGGAAAATAACAGAACACATGCTTGAAAATCCTAGAGTAATATAATATCTCATACCTAGAGAGCCACTGGTCTGTACTGGTCTTGTTATGTGCAGCTTGCTCTGTTGTCTTTATCAATGCCCTAACATCCGCTCATTCCCCGTGACTGAATATAACTATTCTTCTAGAGCCCTGCACTACACACTTGATATTCATTCTCTGACTGTTCACCTGTACTTCTGAGATACGGTAGGCACGCACATGGAGCCTGCTTCTGCTGCGTCTCCACCTCCTGTCTCTATCTCACGTCTCCATCACATCATCCCCCTCATCCGCAGTGTAATCCGTGCTCCCCAGAGAAACTCTCACCCCTTCTCGCCGCAGTCCTGCTTCTGCACTGCAGTGTCTCCTCCACTCCACCTCCGGTCTCTATCTCACGTCTCCATCACATCATCCTCATCACATCATCCTCATCACATCTCCACCTCTGGTCTCTATCTCACGTCTCCATCACATCATCCTCATCACATCATCCTCATCACATCTCCACCTCCGGTCTCTATCTCACGTCTCCATCACATCATCCTCATCACATCATCCTCATCACATCTCCACCTCCGGTCTCTATCTCACGTCTCCATCACATCATCCTCATCATCATCGTCCCCCTCCTCCTTCTCCCCCACAAGCCATCCAAAATCCTGCTTCTGCCACATCTTCTCCTCACGTCTCCATCACATCATCCTCATCATCCCCCACCTCCCCTTCCTCCTCCTCCTCCCCATCCCCCCCACCAATCCTCAAATCCGAAAGCAACTCTTCCAGCGGAATCTCCGGAACATCCTCCCCATCCTCCTCCTCCTCCTCTTCCTCCTCCCCAGCATCCACCATCTCATCCCCTCCCCTCGCTCCTGCCCCTCCTCCCACTTGCGGCGCCACGTAGTTCGGATCACGGTAAACCGCAATTCTAGACCGCATATCCGCATCCTCCTCCAACTCCTCCAAAAACCTCTCTTTATCCGCCGCATCCCTCTCTTCATCGATCCGTCCCTTCGCCCCACCACCCCCTCCTCCTCTCTCTCCTCTCTCCGCTCCTCTCTCTGCTGCGCCCTCATCCACTTCCATGTCAAGCTGCTTGAGCTTCCACGCCCGCGGCTTGCCGCGCCGCTTCTTGCGCTTCTCCTCGTAGCTCTTGCGCACGAGAACTACATCGGGAAGGGTGGCTCTGTTGCTGTACCTGAAGGGCGGGCGGGAGGGAGGGAGGGAGCGAGGGGGGACCGGGATGGAAGAGGGGAGAAGGAAAAGGGGGAGCGGGGAAAGATTTGCTCTGATGCTTCTCGCGCTTGTCCTGAGAGCTCTTGCGCACGAGAATAACGTTGGCGAGGGTGGCTCTGTTGCTGTACCTGGTGGGTGCAAGGAGCAGAGTGCACGACCCCCACTCCAACTCTCGCCCAAGAGGAGTGGTGGAAGGACAACTGCAAAGAGTTGGAGTAGGAGGGGTGGTGTTTTGAGTCGACTCGAAACAAAACACGACTCATTTTAAGTCGACTCGAAACAAAACACGACTCATTTTGAGTCGACTCGAAACAAAACACGACTCATTTTGAGTCGACTTGAAACGTGGTGGAAGGACAACTGCAAAAAGGAGTTGGAGTAGGACGGGTGGGGTGGCAGAGTGACGACCAGGGGTTGCCTCTTGGGCTTCATGTGCGTCTCCTCACCTCATGCGCACGAGAATCAGAAGCAGCTCACCTCGCTAGATCGTCGCTGTTGAGGTTGGCCCCGTGCAGGTCGTATCCCATGGCACAGTCCCCTGGGCGCAGCAGGTGGCCCAGGTGCGTGCGTGCAGTGAACATCACATTGTTCCTCCCATCAATGCATGTGCCAAGTGCACACCAGCACCACCAGAACCACCATCAGCGGCTCACCTGGCGAGGTCGTCGCTGTTGAGATTCGCCCCGTGCAGTGCAGGTCGTTCGTATCCCATGGCACAGTCCCCCGGCCGCAGCAAATGCCCCAGGTGCGTGCGCGCAGTGCAGTGAACTTCACATTGTTCCTCCCATCCATGCATGTCAACACCCCACCACAGACTAGCGCACCTGGCCAGGTCATCGCTGTTGAGGTTCGCCCTGTGCAGGTCGTACCCCAGTGCAGTGAACATCACACCATTCTCCCAAAGTCCGCCACCAGCGCCACGCCACTTGCGCGTCTGCCAGCGCCAGAACCACCACCACCATTACCATCTCACCTGGCCAGGTCATCGCTGTTGAGGTTCGCCCCGTGCAGGTCGTATCCCATCGCGTAATCCCCTGGCCGAAGCAAGTGCCCCAGGTGCGTGCGCGCAGTGAAAATCACATCGTTCTTCCCAAAATCCGCCACCCGCGCCACCTGCACGTCTGCCAGCACAAACCGCGCCAGCGCCCCTCCCCCCGCCTTGTGCGGCGCTCCCCCCACTCCCCCCGCTCCCCCCGCTCCCCCCGCTCCCCCTCCGCCTCCGCCTCCCCATCCCCCTCCGCCGCCCACGGTCTCAACATCTAAAACCACATACTCCACGAGCTGTCGCGAGGAGAGCAGGGGCTTAAAGCCATAGCGCCAGTACTGGTTCGAGTCGAGGTAGATGGCGTGCAGGGTGGAGGGGTCGAGCAGCTGCAGCGAGTTGGAGACGCGGATGCAGAGGACTAAGGGGTTGGCTGCTGTGCCACACGCGTTGGCGGCCTTTGGGGGCAGGCAGATCAGGTCTTCCTTGCACACGGGGCAGATTTCGACAGAGAAAGTGTACCTGGTGGGAGAAGTGGGGAGAAGTGGGGAGAAGTGGGGAGAAGTGGGGAGAAGTGGGGAGAAGTGGGGAGAAGTGGGGAGAAGTGGGGAGAAGTGGGGAGAAGTGGGGAGAAGTGGGGAGAAGTGGGGAGAACAAGTGGACAAGGGCCCATGAAACGTGTGGGACGACGGCACTATTGGTGGCGCTACTTGTGCTCGCTATGACAAGGTGACTTTGCAGTCGCTACAACTAGTTGTCCTCTCTATAGCACTCACTCGTAATTGTACAAAGCCGTTTGGATGTTATGCAATACAATACTACCTGCTTGTCGCTGCGGGTGTTGAGCCGGCCGGCAGTGCCACCATGCTCACCAACACACCACCAGCCTTTTGCACTTGCACTGCCCATGTGTACTCGCTATAAGCCTTCTCAACACTCACTTGTAATTATAAGAGGCCGTGTGAATGTAGTTGTACGAGGCTGTGTGTGACACCAGCTGCTTGTCACTGCGGTGCTGAGCTGGCACCTGTGGTTGTGTACTCATTGTAAGCATCCTCGTTATAGCACTCACTTGTAAATATAAGAGGCCATGTGGATGTCATGCGACACCAGCTGCTTGTCACTCCGGTGCTGAGCCGGCAGTGCCATCATGCACACCGCACTTAGCACCACCAGCCTTTCGCACTCGCACTAACTATAACACCCATGTGTACTCGCTATAAACCTTTCCCGCACTCACTTGTAGTTGTACGAGGCCGTGTGGATGTCATGTGACACCAGCTGCTTGTCACTCCTGTGCTGAGCTGAGCTGAGCTGTGTGCACTAGGTATAACACCCACGTGTACTCGTTATAGCACTCACTTGTAATTATAAGAGGCCGTGTGGATGTCATGAGACACCAGCTGCTTGTCGCTGCGGTGCTGAGCTGGCACCACGGCCGACACAAAGTCAACAAACTTCTGCGCGTGCGAGCGGTTGGCGTAATAGAAATCAATGCCGTCATGCACCTGGGAGGGGAGGAGGGGGGGAGAGGGTTGCACAGAAGCGGGCGTTGACTGGCGTTGATTGGCATTGACTTTACGTGAGAAACTGGCCGGCACCACTGCCGATGCAAAGTCAACAAACTTCTGCGCGTGGGAGCGGTTGGCGTAATAGAAATCAATGCTGTCGTGCACCTGGGAGGGGACAGGGTGGAAATAACGGAAAGTCAATGCCATCGTTAGAGTCAACACTGCAGGGAGCGTTGGCTCGCGTTGACTTTTGAGTCAACTCAAAGGTCACCTAGTTGACTACCTTTGACTTGCATTGGCCGTGCCGAGCGGTTGACATTTGTCGTCCAAAACAACGCTGCTGTTGTTGTGCACGTGGTAGCAGGAGATCAGGTGGTTTCGAGGCAGCGGAACCGGAATGATGCGCATTAATGCTCATCATTCCGCGGAAACCTAGATTCACGAGTGCCAACAGCAATTCCCCTACTTCCCAAACCAAACCAAGCCTGGAATTCTAACAACGTACCCTTACACCCTGCTGAATTCAAAACGAATCAAATCCACCTGGCGGATGTTGATGGTGTTGGCGGCTTCGGCACCATGCTTCAATATAAGCTGCTCCAGGAAGAGGAACGTGCGCTTGTGCTGCACCTTCTGCCAAATGCCCTCTGCCTTTTGACCCAACTCACCAGTCACCTCGCTGCAGCAAGCACCCACCTGACGGATGTTGATGGTGTTGACGTCGGCACCATGCTTCAATATAAGCTGCTCCAAGAAGAATAAGGTGCGCTTGTGCTCCGCCTTCTGCCTTCTGCCAAGGGCCCTTTGCCTTCACGATTCGACTCACAGGTCATCTCGCTCACTGCAATCAAGAAAGCCACTCACCTGGCGGATGTTGATGGTGTTGGCGTCAGCACCGTGCTTCAGTATAAGCTGCTCCAAAAACAGAAACGTGCGCTTGTGCTCCGCCTTCTGCCGCAGCTGCACCACCGCCACCCACTGGTCGGGGTTGGCCGCTGACCGCGTGCACGCGTCGCACATGTGGTCCTCCACCACATATTCCGTCACAAATGTTTGTTGCAGCACCGCACCGGACAGAACCTCCTTCTGTATCGTCACCTGGGAAGAAGGGGTTCAGGTTCAAGGCACGTTAGGGTCCGGGTTGGCAGCCGACTGTGTGCAGGCATCACACATGTGATCTCCACTGAGGACCTCCTTCTGTATCGTCACCTGGGAGCAAAGGGTTCAGAATTTCGAGGTACAGAGTGTAAGAGTTAGGGTTGGCAGCTGGCGAACGGCTTTCTGTATGGTCACATGGGAGCAACAGGGTTCAGGGTTTTTTAAGTACAGGTGAATATTCGAATCAGGGTTGGCAGCTGGCTGGCTGACCGTGTGCACGTGTGTCACGTAACCCACGTGATCCTCCCTCCACCAAATACTCTGTCACATACGCATGCGGCACGACTTTCGTGGCAGGCAACATCTCCCATCCCATGCCTAAACCCTGAAGTTTTATTTTGCAAGGGCCCTGTGAGGATCTGCTATGGACTAGCTTTGAGTGTTACAGTCGAGGTTCGACCCACAGACGTAGCACCTTGATTTTGATTCGCTTAAAATGCGGCTCGGTCCAGATGAAAGAGGCTACTTGTGGGGCGCCTCTCTAAAGTAACAGCCGAGACTCTAGATTCAACAGGCGAAAGTCGTACATTGGTTTTGATTCGCTTAAAGTGCGGCTCGGAACCAGCTTTTGATGCGCTGCAAAAGTAGCAGTCGGCCCTAGAGATTCAACAGGCGAGAGTCCTACCTTGATTTTGATTCGCTTGGAGTGCGGCTCGGTCCAGATGAAAGAGGCGTCCACCAGCTTCACCTTGTTGAGATTCTTCATTCGCTGTTGTTGCAGCCGGGTAACACGGTAACACACACACACACACACACGGTACGCAGTCAGGGGGGGAAAGGGAGAGAATGGGCTCGGTCCAGATGAAAGAGGCGTCCACCAGCTTCACGTTGTTTAGATTCTTCATGCGCTGTTACAGTGACACACACGGTAACAGGGTAGCATGGTAACACATGCACATGCGTGCAGTGGGAGGGAGGGGGCAAGGCAACACAAGGGTTTTGCAAGGGTGTTTCAGGCATGTGGACGCGTCAACCAGTTTCGCCTTGCTAACATTCTTCATGCGCTGTTACAATAATACTGTCGGGTAGAACCGTACTACTTTCAGAGGAAGTAGTGGGCACAAAGGGCAACGCAGGGTTTTAGAGGGGTTTCGGCAGGCAAACACGTTCACGAGATTCGATTGGCCCTGCGTACCGCCTGCGCGCGCGGCAGGGGATATACGTACGCGATTGGGCGACAACGCGCCTAAAAAGAATCAGGATTTGACATTGGTGTTTAAGTCGAAAACATGAGAACGAGCAACAACAAAGGTGCAAGGGCTGAGAGCAGGAGATTAGAGCTGCTCGCTCGTATGAGCAACTCCTCACGTCGGCGAATCCATTGACGACCAACGCGGATGCACATCCATGCGCGGGGAGAGCTCTTGAACGCGAAATCATGCGCGATGGCCGAAAACAGCCACGAGAGAGAAGCCTTTTGTGGGATGACAGGACGCGGATTTAACTAGGAGATTTCTTAAAACGTAACTAGGAGATTTCTTAAAACGTACGTACGGCATGCACCTTGAGGCAGCACGTGAGGAGATCTTTAGAGTCGAGATCTGCGCGCGTGGAGCAGAGGCTTGAGCAGAGCCTTGACTCTACCCGACTCGCCTCAACTCTATCCGTCTTGACTCAACTCGACTCGACTCGACTCAATTCGATTCACACCTTGAGGCAGAACGTGAGGAGCTCCTTCGACTCGAGCTCCGCGCGGATCCACGCGCGCGGCGGCGCGAGGAACCTTCCGCACGGCGGCGGGCAGCGCAGCACTGACAGGCGGCGCGGGAGGCCCTCGGTGATGTCGACGTGCGTGCGGATGCAGCCGGGACACATGCCGGTCGGGTTGGGCGGCATGGCCGTGCCGCACAGGCAGCACAGCACGGTGGACGGCGTCTGCTGGACGGTAAACATGCCGGCCGGCGCGGAAACGTCCGGCTCCATTGACGCCATCGGAACCGCGCTACGGACACGTCGAATCTAGGAGATTCTTCTGCTATCAATTGCGCGTTCTGGTGAACACGTGAGGAGTTAGGAGACAAAGAACACAGCCGTTTGGTGTTCGGGTCTACAGACTAGAGTTAGAAACTAAGAATTTCTGCTTCTAGTCTCTCTAGTCTCGACCGCCGAGTGTCCAGCTCCTACTAACTGAAGGTTGTGTGGGTGGGCGTGGGTGAGGCAAGCGAAAAACCCTCGTGTGTTGCGTGCTGGGATTCTGCATTTTGGGTAAATTCTCGCCATACGACGATTCATTAAATGTATATGCAGCTACACCTCTTGCAGCCAAAACAATGCTTCGTTTATGAGTTCGAGTTCCGGTCAATAAGTTTTTTGCATTGTGACTGTAGCCAGCTGCAGTGTTTGATTGCAAGCCGCGTTTAGAAGTGCAAGGGTACAGGGTAACAACTCGTTATGTGGGGCGGGTGGCATGCACATTGCAGAAATGCCAAGGCCTTGCCAGCCATATATCCTAGGTCCCGACGAGTCGCGAGTGTTTCTGTAACGGCCTCGTTATAGCGGCGTCTACAAAAAAAATCATCGCCAGGCAAGCCATCACGTGTTGTCCCTGGCGACTCGGCGAAGCTCTTCTCCAGCTTGCGACATGGCGAGCCAGTCCTACTCAAGATTGCAGCAAAGATGCTGCCATGGGACTGATCGCATTGCGTCGCATCGCATCGCATCGCATCGCATCGCTCAAGCAAGGACAACCGAGGTTTGGCAGTATGCTAGAGTGGATGTACGGCAGCTTAGGTGTGGCTGGAAATCAAAAGGCAAGGGAGTGCCGTGTGATCTCAACTGTCAATAGAACTAATCTAACGGTTTACACTTGTTGTAACCATCAGCTGCAAGACACAGCAGCAGTCCGTAATTTGTACAGATAAAGTACATCGCAGAAAATCGAGAGAATTACTGTAGAACCTGGATCGGTGATTCATCCTTACTCGCGTGGCCTCGAATTACTCGAGTGGCCACCAAATTTGGTGATAATTACTCGAGTGGCCATGCCAGGGGATTCCTTCAGGCTTTTTTTTTTCCCGGCGCATTACCCTACAAGGGTTCGTATCCCCGAAACCTCTGTATTGATAATTGCGCGATTTTCAATTTACGCGATGATTTATAATGGATGTTTTCGCGTGATGATTTATATTCGAAATTTTTGTTCGTGACTCTATATGACCGCGCCTGATTGGACGCGCATATAGTCGACCAATCATGCGCGGTCATTAATGGTCGGGCACATCATATATTAATGCCCGATCATATATTTCCGCGATCATAAACTGCAATGCCCGGGCGTCAATGCGCGGGACATTAAATGACCGCGCATGATTGGTCAATTATATGCGCGGTGCTTTGTTTTGCAATGCGCGTCCAATCAGGCGCGGTCATATGGGGTCACGATCATAAATTTCGGATATTGAAGATCGCGCATTAAGCAGTACAGAGGTTTCAGGGATACAAACCCTTGTAGGGTAATGCGCCGGGTAAAACAAAACCAGCAGGAATCCCCTGGCAGGGCCACTCGAGTAATTATCACCAAATTTGGTGGCCACTCGAGTAATTCGAGGCCACGCGAGTAAGGATGAATCACCGAACCAGGTTCTACAGTAATTCTCTCCAGAAAATCGCACGCGGCGCATGCATCCCGTTCCCAAGCCAGCAAACACGAACATCCCTCCGTCCGTGCACCCAACAAATCGCCCCATTTTCTCACCTCACCTCACCTTTGCCCCAATTCACTACTCCCGCCAGTAACACGACTTGAGTAGCACAATGTGAGACGCGTGAAGCACGGAGAGCAGCGAAGTAAAAGAAATATCTTCGACAGTTTCTTCGTCTCAGCCATTTCCATTTGTACGCTCTGCTCGCCCCATACTTTTGCTTAATCGCTCAATATCGTATCCTCAAGAGTATCTCTCCCAGTCGTCCTGAAAAAAATAGATTAAGTTTTGTCTGGAAGATAGTCGTTCCATCGTCGTCACCATGTCGACTGATGATCCTCTTCCACCATTACCGCGTCTCCCGGACGACATTCTTCGCATGATCTTCGCTCGCATAGGATCGCACGGCGACACCTTCACCCACGCGGTTACCTGTAAGCGATGGCTCGAGATCGCGCGTCCCGCTCAAACCACCCTCTGCGTTCGCGAAACCCGCGAAGCGTCCTCCCGACAGCTCGCGAACGCCATCGCGCAGTTTCGCAACCTCTCGCGGATCCATCTCCCCAACTGCAGCGTCGACAGAGTGGGCGACGATCTCCTCGACCGAATCGCCGCGTCTTGCGGCGCGACTCTCGCCTCCTTCCGCTTCGGAACGGTGCGTCCCTCTTCAATGCAAGGCGGCGCCTCCAGCGGCGCTCTCCGAAACCGCCGCCATGTGGATGACATCCACCAGGCACCGCGTGAGTTTGTCGCGCAAGAAGGACAAGAAGAACTCCAAGAACTGCTACTAGAAGCGGAGGAAGCGGCGGGAGAAGCGGGAGGCGCAATGTCCGCCGAGTCGACGGCCGAAGCAGCTCTCTACTCTGGAATCACCGAAGCGGGTTTGGATAGACTTTTTCGGGCCTGCCCGAGGTTAGAAGAGTTCGGTCTGCACTGCGCGCCGAACCTCTCCCTTCGACCAACGTCGTTTCTCGAGCTCGCGCGGATCAGCGGGGGACCGTTGGATACCGACTCGGTTTACAAATGGAGCATCCCGAACGACGCTAGCGCACCGCCGAGCCTCCAGTTTCCGAAGCTGCAGGCTCCGAGCCTGATCGCGCTGCCAAATAGCCTCGGCGAGCTGACAAACCTCCGTGACCTTCAGATTGGCTGCAGCGCGTTGCGATCGCTGCCCGAGACTCTCGGGCAGCTGTCACGGCTGACGCGGCTGCACGTGACCGACTGCGGGCTTGCGCAGCTGCCGGATTCTTTGTGCAACCTGCCCGCTCTCTCCTTCCTTTCCATCACTTACTGCATGCGGATAAGCCGGCTGCCCGCGAATCTCGGGCAGCTTTCCTCTTTACAGTCCCTGCAGCTGCACAGCGTCTTTAGTCTAGAGACGGTGCCGGAATCTCTCGGGCAGCTGCCAAATCTTGAAGCTCTGCGTCTCCATGGATGCAAACGGCTTACTGAGTTACCCTCGTCGGTTTATCAGCTAACGCGGCTCCAGTCGCTGAGTATTAGAGATTGCCCGCGTTTAGTCAGCCTCCCTGATGATATAGGTTTCCTTAGCCGGCTAGAGTCGCTAGATATTAACACGTGCGAGTCGCTGATTGGCCTCCCGCCCTCTTTTGTCCACCTCATCAGCCTCCAGTATCTTGAGATATGCTTCTGCAAGAGTTTCGCTTCCATTCCCGCGGATTTCGGGCAGCTGCCGAGCCTCCACACCCTCAAGATCTCCTCCATTTCCTGTCTAACCCACCTGCCCGAATCCATGGGGCAGCTTTCTTCCCTAAAACACCTGGAGCTGTCCCATTGGCCGCTTCTTCGCGCTCTGCCGCTCGCCCTGTTCGCGCTGAAGTCACTCGAATGCCTGGCGGTCACGAGCTGCCGCCATCTCTCATCCCTTCCCGTGAGCGTCACGCAGCTGACGTCACTGAAGCTGCTGAATTTGTCTGGTTCTGCCGCCCTTTCCGCACTGCCGGAGTTCCTCTGCCGGCTCAGCGGCCTGGAGCAGATCCTCTTGACTGATTGCTTTCGTTTAGTACGGCTGCCCGAGAGTCTTGGGCAGCTAATAAATCTTCGGCTGCTAGACCTGGAAGGATGCGACAGCTTGCAGGATCTGCCCGACTCACTTTCGACCCTAGATGGACTGCAGATAAGAGCTAGACCGTTGTTAAGAAGAGTGATCGCAACAAAAGCTGGTAACGAGTTGGAGTACGATACTTACAGTAAAGGAGGAGTCTCTGGGTTAGAAGATCAGGACAACCTAGAGATTTCGCAGGATACACAAGAGTCGCAGCAGAGGACAGGTGGAGATGCGCCATTGGTGGATAGGGGAGTGGGGTTGGAACCAGAAGGTGAGAAGAGAGTGGGGAAGGAGGCGTGGAATGGTGAGGATGAGTGGGATGGTGACTGGGAGTGGTTGCAGGAGGAGAGGTCTCAGAGAGAGTGGCACCAGCGGTCACAGCGCTGGTGTGTTTTGGGCCTGTCACCGTTGAAAGTGGCAAAGAGAATGCTCCTTGTTCAACCTGGAAAGCTGTGCAGAGTTCCTTTGTGCACAGGCCAGTCAAGGCCTGCACAATAATATGGCAAGAAATCTTGTAATGTCCTGAGGTGTTCGTTATGTCCATCTTTCAACTAGTGTCAAAGGGACATTGTGCACCAGAGTTGTGTTAGGGTACGCGTGATTGGATTTGTTGTGGTACTATCTGTTGATCTCCTGAGCCATGTATCTATTGGAATGATGATCAACTGCACCTTGCTTTATGCTGTACTACAAATTGGTTATACTCGTTATATATTCTCCAACCTAACGGACATGGCTAGAAACAGACAAATTGCATGCTGGTTTGGCGAGTCTACACCCAGCCAACTCTGACAATATATAGAGATGAAGCGTGTAACATTTCCTACCTCTCGCGAAATAACTCCCTTCGTCAATGGCCTTTCGGCTCGTAAATCCGCCGTGGAAGGCGCCATCTCAGACTTTGTGGATGGCGCGTCGATCCCCCACACAAGATCACGAATCACGTCCTCCGTTTGTGCCGGTAGCACGTTGCCGTGCCCAGCGTCCATTCAGAGAGCTTCTTGCCAAAACGAAGCTGGTGATTAGGCTTGGTGTACCGGACCAGCAGGGGCCAAGTAACCAATAGCGACGCGTGGTAGGTGGGAAGCAATCACACCAAGCTGATGGGCTATCCCATGGCAAAAACGCCCAGCCAGAGCAGTCCCTGGGCACGTCAACAGTGTGCCCGAGAAATACATTTCAGGCGCCGAGCCGGTATCGCACCAAGCACGGGACGGCTCCTGGTGCCAAGTGTACGCCAAAATAAACGGTTGTTCCGACAAATTGTTCACTGCACTTCAACCAGCTGCATTCCTTGAACTTGGTTCTTCAAGATTCCAGCCAGGTCGTCAAATCACCAGCTACTCAGTTTTGACGGTGTCGATTTAACGCATTCGCCTTCTCATTAGCGCTTCGTGAAATGAGCGGCGCGTCGGTGTTGGTTCTCTCGGATAATCGAGGGCAGACGTTCATCCTGTCCCTCCCTATTCCCTAGAAACACAAGAGAGCTTGTCCGAGAGATTGCATCTCGGAGAAAGTTTTCTGACTGACCATGGCATGAGAGGAGGGAGAGGGAGCATTGCAGTTCCAACGCAGAACACGTGGACCAACCGTCTCGAATACTGTTCGTTATCAGCTCGTAGCTCGGATTTGAGCTCTACTATTCTACGATCTTCCTTCCTTGCCTGTTCCTGAACTTTTCAAAGGGAGATGATTGTTCTGTTAGCTTCATATCAAGCTTGAGCCAAGTGTCTTTGAGAATATTGTCAGACCGAGCAACTGTGTTTCTTTAAACTCGAGGCGCTATTCTGTCCCTGTTCATAACAGGTGCCTGTGGTAGGAGTCATGGGTAGGTTGAACGGGCACGGGTATCACTCGATCGGTCTAGAAACTCGCACTTCCATTGCGGACTCTGTGTCGCACGCATCTCAGCTCAGTTTGCGAACGTCGCATGCACTACCCGTGCCGTCGCCAACGTCGTCAGCGTCACCCCTGTCGCGCGTCTCTCATGTATTTTCGCACATGTTGACGGCTCTCGGGATTAAACCGGGAGGGTCTACAAACGAGGAGAGGAGCCATCGATTGGGGTATTCTATGGACTGGTTTCACTGCGTGCTCGTTTCTGTCAACCTGTGCCTCCTCGTACTCGTTATAGCCGAATCGCTACCGCCATGGGTCACCAGATCCGATGCGGGAGCGGAATTGGCGGTAGCAGGGGGAGCGAGCGGGAGGCTACGCGGCGAATGGAGCCCTTTATTTCCCATGCAGCTGCGAAAGTCGCTGCTTGTCGCCCACGCTTCAGACGAAACTGGAGATACCGCCGTAAGCCCATTCAAGTACGTGGTTAGCAGCTACGCGTGTAAGACCTAACCCAGCCTTCAGGTTTTTTTTTTCGGATCGTCCGTCTTACCATTGTGATTTGGCTGCTCTAGGTGCCTTGTCAAGTCGATTGCAGACGATAGTCCCTGAGTCTCTGCTCCGTACTCTTTCCTCCTGTTCACTCATCCGCATGCTCCCCTCCCTTGCCCCAAAATTTCCTCCAACGTGCGCAACATCCCCGCACTTTTCCGCCAACCGCCCCTCAACCTCCTCGCAGTGACCCCGTGCTCCGAAGGAGTGCACCCGGCGTCTCCGATGGCAGCGTAGCGCCGCTGAGGCGACGACGAGTATGCTGGACGTCGTCAGGAGGTAAGATTTCAAATAGCATGGAAAATAAGGTATTTTTAGGCGGACCACGTTCAGTGCAGCAACACCCCTTTTTCCCCCATTACCGCTCTCATGCGCTTCCCCCCACCCCCTTCCTGCCCATATTCATATGACTCCGCGTACTATGCATCACCTCCTCTCTCGTTATTTGAAGCGCCCAGAAAAATGGTCTGACGCAACCCGCTTTTTTCCCTCCCTCGCTTCTCGTAGGCATGCGACTCCGCAGACTATGCATCCCCGTCCCCCTCGGGAGATTTACAAGGCGCCTGAAATTACGCTCTTTGAGGCGCCTCAAAAATCGCTTGAACTTACGCTCTCATGCGACACTCCTTCCCCCCTCCCTTGCTTCCCATGTCCATGATATGATGACTCCGCAGACTATGCATCCCCGTCCCCCTCGGGAGTGGTGATCCACGGCTCAGGTTGCGCCACGTGTCTGCGCGGGCAGCGCTGCTCCTTCCGCGTGTCCGTGCGCGCGCCCGCGCGCTGGGCGCACGTGCTGGAGGCGGACAAGGAGAGCTGGTGGAAGCGCGACTTAGCTCTCACTTTAAGAGGCATCGCGCTAGCTCACGGGGACATTAGGTGTCTAGACCCTCCGCACTGCACGGAATTTAGAGTGTCGTACCGCGTGTGGGACCTCGGCAATTACTGGTGAGCCTAGTCTCGAAGCGCCTCAAAGTGAGGCAGTTAATCTACTCCTTACCGATCTGCTCAGCTGTTGTTTCCTCCGCATCACCTCCGATCCCTCACAACCTTTTTGCCTCTCGTGTGGATTCCCAACATCCGTTTTGCACCCAACACCTTCCTCGCTCGCGCCTCTCTCCCCTTGTCTCCCCCATGCTTTTCCCCCTTGCTTCCCCCATGCTTCGCTCCCTGCTTCCCCCATGCTTCCCCAATCCTCCACCCCCGCAGGGCGACGCTGCACGTGGGGTGCGCCAACCTCAACTTCAACCCCCCTCCCTCGCTTTGCCTCTCTTCCCTTGCGTTCCCACCACTCCCCTTCCCCACCTCCCCAACTCTTCCCCCACTTCCAGGGCGACGCTGCACGTGGGGTGCGCCAACCTCAACTTCTCCGCCTCCTTCACTCACCACTTCAACCGCACGCACCAGCACAGCCTCGCCTCCTGGCCAATCACAATCACGCCACGTGGCGAGGCGCTGACCAGAGCCAGCACCCTTGGCATTAGCAGCATCACAGGCGACAGCCGCAGCAGCAGCACAGGGGAGAGCGGCAGACGTGTCACCACCACACCCGCCGCTTATTCAGAAGCAGCAGGCGGGGACCGTGAGGGCAGAGGCGGGAGTGAGGGGGAGAGGCACGGGGCGGGGGAGGGGGTGGGGAAAGGGCAGGGGGAGGAGGAGCAGGAGGGGGTGCAGGACTGGCCGGACACTCCATGCAATGGGACGTCTGTGCCGGGGCGATGGGTGGTGAAGGCAGATGGGTCACTCAGGTATGTAGATGGGTGCGGCTGGGTGAAGACGTTGTGTGTGCATCCGTAGGTGCAGGATTGGCCGGACACTCCGTGCAATGGGACGTCTGTGCCAGGGCGATGGGTGGTGAAAGCAGATGGGTCACTCAGGTATGTAGATGGGTGTGAATGGGTGGAAACGGGTGAAACTTGTGTGTGTGGGGTGCAGGATTGGCCGGACACTCCATGCAATGGGACGTCAGTGCCGGGGCGATGGGTGGTGAATGCAGATGGGTCACTCAGGTACGTGCGTGTAGATGGGTGACGATGGGTGAAGCTGGGTGTAAATGGGTACAGATGGGTGTAAATGGGCTGTGTGTGGTACCTGCACTTGCTCGCTGCTCAACCTCCTTAATGAGAGCAATATCCGGTAAGCAAGCCTCGTGTGGGACAGTCAGCAGCGGTTTCTAGCGGCGACTTTTGAGGTGCCTCGAAAGTCGTTTCCTACATGAGAGGAGTATTTGGAAAGTAGGACAGGATGAGTAAGCCTCGTGTGGGACAGTCAGCAGCGGTTTCTAGCGGCGACTTTTGAGGCGCCTCGAAAGTCGTTTCCTGCATGAGAGGAGTATTTGGAAAGTAGGACAGGATGAGTAAGCCTCGTGTGGGACAGTCAGCAGCGGTTTCTAGCGGCGCACCTACACTTGCTCTATCGGCTCACCGCACAGGCGGACAGGATGAGTGTGCAGCGGTAGAGGCAGGAAGAGGCACCTTTCTCACGCCTCACCCCGGGTTCCTACCCGCCCTTTCCCCTGCTCCCCCCTCCCCCCCCTCCTGTCGCCCACAGATGGACTTTCTACCGGTGCACGGCTGCTGAGGTTCCCCGATCGGACTGGATAGCCGCGATGCACGAGAGGGGCATTCGGGAGATCAGCATCGTGGGGGACAATCACCAGCGGTTTCTAGCGGCACCCCCATTTCCCCACCCCTCGCCCCTTCCAATGACCCCCTCCTCTCCCAATGCGCACCAGGTGGGCTTTCTACCGCTGCGCAGCGCCTGAAATCCGGCCATCCGAGTGGATAGCCGCGCTGCACGAGAGGGGCATTCGGGAGATCAGCATCGTGGGGGACAGTCAGCAGCGCACCTGCATTTTCTGCTCACGGCTCAGGCGGACAAGGATGTGAAGCGGTGGCAGGATAACCTCGTGTTTGACCCCTCTTACGGCCCCAATACCCGCCCCACTACCCTCCCCACTGCCCTCCCCACTCCCCCCATTCCCCCTTCCCCCACAGGTGGGCTTTCTACCGCTGCGCGGCCCCTGAAATCCGCCCGTCCGAGTGGATAGGCGCGCTGCACGAGAGGGGCATTCACGAGATCAGCATCGTGGGGGACAGTCACCAGCGCTACCTGGCGGCCCACCAACCACCAAACCCCCCCCCCCCCACCCCCCCCCCTCTCCCTCCTTTTCCCCTCACAATGCGCACCAGGTGGGCTTTCTACCGCTGCGCAGCGCCTGAAATCCGCCCGTCCGAGTGGATAGGGGCGCTACACGAGAGGGGCATTCGGGAGATCAGCATCGTGGGGGACAGTCACCAGCGGTTCCTGGCAGCTCATCTGCACTTCCTGCTCACGGCACAGGCGGACAAGGATGTGAAGCGGTGGCAGGATAATCTGGTGTTTGACGCGCGTGACAGCAGCAACCGCACGCTCAGAATCAACTTCTACTGGATTGATGGGATCTACAAGAATGGGGAGTTCGGCTGCACGTAAGTTCTTGAATGGGCTTGAATGGGGCTGAACGGGTTATAAGTGGGCTTTAACTGGGGTTTGGATGGGCGTTGATGGGGGGGGAGTTCAATAGATTCTGAATGTGGTTTGAAATGGCTTTTAAGGGGCTTTGAAGGGGCTTTGAAGGGGCTTTGAAGGGGATGGGCTTTAGATGGGCTTTGACTGGGCTTTGACTGGGCTTTGACTGGGCTTTGACTGGGCTTTGACTGGGCTTTGACTGGGCTTTGAATGGGCTTTGACTGGGCTTTGACTGGGCTTCATTGGCTTCGAACATACAGAGACGGACCGGCAATGTGAAGCAGTGGCAGGACAGCCTGGTGTTGAACACACACTATGGCAGCAACTTCTCCCTCTTGCGTGCGATGATTGAGAATTCTCACCTGGACATAAAAAATCGCACACAGGACAGCCTAATGTTGATCGTGCATTATGGCAGCAACTTCTTCCTTCGCCTTTTGAGACGTCTCAAAAAAAAAAACAGCCTAATGTTGAACGTGCATTATGGCAGCAACTTCTTCCTTCGCCTTTTGAGACGTCTCAAAAAAAAACAGCCTAATGTTGAACGTGCATTATGGCAGCAACTTCTTCCTTCGCCCCTGCCCCCTCCTCTCGCCCTGCCCCTTCCACCCTCCCCCACAACCAGCCATCGAGGCGTCAACACCAACACATGGGAGGAATTTCTTCCACCCTTCTCCTCTCCCCCTTTCAGTCCCATCCTTCCTCTCCCCACAACCAGCCACCGGGGTGTCACCACCAACCGATTCAAGGAATTTCCTGACATCTTCACCACTTCTACCCCCTCCTTAATCGCCCCTTCCCCCCACTCAATCCCACCCCCGCCACCCCGCCCCAACCCCCCACCAGCCACCGGGGAGTAACAACCAACCGGTCGGAGGAATTCCCTTCCTGCCCCTCCAACCCCTCCACTTCCATCCCCAACTTTCCCCCCCAATCCCCCTCCCCGTCGCCCACCAGCCATCGGGGAGTAACCACCAACCGGTCGGAGGCCTTCCCCGAAATCTCCCCCACTGCTGACGTCACGCTCTTTGAAGGAGGCTACTGGGCAGCTTCCTTCTGCCGCCAGCCCCTCAAGGCGCTCCGAGTGCACCTCGAGGAGTTTGCTCGCTGGGCGCTTGCCGCCGCGCCCGCTAAAGGCAGGGTTATTTTCCGTACTATCCCGTCTTTTCCGGTGGCGGGGGACCGGTGTCACGCGTGGTATCCGGGACCGAGTTCGAATAGGGTGGTTATGGCGATCAATGTGCTGCTGAAGCAGATAGTGCAGGGGAGAGGCGTGGAGGGAGAACAGCGAGGAGCGGGGGAGGCGGGGAATGTTGTTGAGAGATTAGGGGCATGGTGGCGAGGAGGGATACGAGGGCGAGATGTTGGTGGGGAAGGAAGGGGAAGTGGAGGAGGGATAGAGAAGCTAGTGTATCTCGATTCGAGCTTGCAGGTGCTGCCGCGGGACTCTGAAGAAGAGGGGGAAAACGTGGAGAGCGCAGGAGCAGCGGTGAGCAAAGGAGCAACGGAGAGCAAAGGAGCAGCGGAGAGCAAAGGAGCTGCGTCGGATATTGAAGAGGCGGATGAGATTGCTGCAGCTGGTGGTGCTGACGGTGGTGCTGGTGCTGGTGCTGGTGCTGGTGCTGGTGATGGTGTTAGTGGTGCTGCTGCTGCTTCTGGTGTTAGTGGTGGTGGTAACTCCTACTCAGAAAAGCGGCCACCACCACCATCACCACGAGCAGCAGCAGAAGAAGCGCCATATGCTGAGTTGGCAGCGTTACCAGTAGGGGCAGCAACAGTGCTGGACACGTGGCAGGTGGACGGCCCTCGGTATGCCGACACAGCAGAGCCTAACGACCATCATTACTCCATGGTGAAACCAACAAAGGAAGGCGCAGTGGTTGTGGGGGAGGTGGGGGAAGCTCAAGTGCGCGCCTTCATTCATTACCTGCTGCACCTGCTGCCGCCGGTCCGTGCAAGTGCACTCTAGCTGCCTGCCTGGAGGGAGGGAAAGGTGGAGGGATGGAGGGAGGGATGGAGGGAGGGTGGGAGGGAGGGAGGAAGGAGGGAGGGAGGGTCGGAGGGAGGGAGGGAGGGAGGGAAAAACGGAGGTGGGGAGGGAGGGAGGGAGAGACGGAGGTGGGGAGGGAGGGAGGGAGGGAGGGAAGGACGGAGGTGGGGCACTCTAGCTGCCTGCCTGCTTGGCTACTCCGCACCTACGGAGCAGCACAGCATGCAAGGGGCGGCATGCTTGGGGTTCTCCCGCTCGTCTCTCCCCAACGAGCGACCACTTCTCTCAATCTCGAATTGCGAGCCTTCATTCATCATCCGCTGCACTGCACCGGCTCCATGCGAGTGCACTCTAGCTGCCTGCTCTCTAACCTGCTCTCCCACTCCACGCTAGCACTCTCTATCTGATTGCGTGCCCTGCACCTGCACAGTCCTCCCGCTCGTCTCTCCCCAACGAGCGACCACTGCTCAAGCTCCAATTGCGAGCCCTTCATTCAGCATCCGCTGCATCTGCACGCCCCCACATTAAGCAGCCTTCCCCCACATCCAGCGAGCCTTCCACTCCACGCTAGTGCAAACACTGCTATGCACATCCTGTGGTTCCTCTCCAACCCATCCGGTCAATAGCGGTGCTGTGAGGTGCTGTGCGGTGTGCACACCTGCCGCCCTGCTCTCCTCTCCCCTGCTCTTCTCACCATGACCAGCACCACTCTTCGGTTGACATGCAGAGAATTATGCAGCCGTATATCATGGGACATTCATGTGATGTCATCTGGCTACATTAGCCACTTCCATAAGGCTTTCAGCGAGCAGATTCGATTCGCCGAGGCCACTGCATAGGTTAGGGTGCTACACTCGATGGGCGTACAGTAATGTTGGTTAGGGTGCTACACTTGAGGGACATACAATTATGACGTTTAGAGTGCGGCACTCAGTGGGGACAGTGTTGCTTGGTAGCTGCGGTGCCGAATGGTTTGGGGTTTGACCTTGATTGAAATTTGAGGCGAGTTAGCAATCCTCCTCAGCCGAAGTTGAGCTGGTGTGAATGGGACGAGAGGTGCTAGCAAGTTGAGCTGGGCATAAGGGAAGTACGGTAATGGGAAGGGGGGGACCCAAAAGTCAGAAAAAAAAAAAAGGTTATGTAGGTATGTTCTTTCCTTTTCCAGTGCTGATATTTCTTAGTTTTTGGCAAACTATATTCATTCATGTGTGTTCGCTTGTTAGGCTACAGCGAGGTGCATTGTATAGGGTACAACACTTTCTAGGGCTTGCCTTGCCATATGTACACAACACATCTCCACAATCACGGGTATCCGCTTTTTCTCTCAGCTGCACACTGCTTTCCCAGCGTTTTTTTGGGTCCGCAGCTTCATCAGAGAAGTGCGGAGCAGAGCAGCGCAGGTCAGGGCAGAGCAGAGTGGGAGAACCCCATGGGTGCAGCAGAGCATGACAGAGTGGGAGAACCCCATGGGTGCAGCAGAGCATGGTAGAGTGGGAGAACCCCATGGGTGCAGCAGAGCATGGTAGAGTGGGCGAACCCCATGGGTGCAGCAGAGCATGGTAGAGTGGGAGAACCCCATGGGTGCAGCAGAGCATGGTAGAGTGGGAGAACCCCATGGGTGCAGCAGAGCATGGTAGAGTGGGAGAACCCCATGGGTGCAGCAGAGCATGGTAGAGTGGGAGAACCCCATGGGTGCAGCAGAGCATGTAAGCAGCTGAAGTGCGCCCACTTCCCCCACCACCACTGCGCCCTGAAGGGTGTATTGCACTGTGGAGTAATGGTGGTCGCTGGGCTCTGCTGTTTCGGCATACCGAGGGGGTTCACCTGAACAAACTCCCTCCCTCCCTCCCTCTGCTGTTGGCGGCACCATGGAGCAATGGTGGTCGTTGGTTGGGGAGAGCAGAGCAGAGCAGGGCAGGCAAACAGCTATAGAGAACTACCACGGAGTGGGGGCAGCGCGTGCAGCAGGTAGTGAACGAAGACCCGCACTTGAGCCTCCCCAACCCAACGCCCCCCACCACCTCTGCGCCTTCCTCTGTGGGCATGCAAGCAGCTATAGAGAACTATCGTGGTGTGGGTGGGGGCAGCACATGAAGCAAGTAGTGAATGAAGGCGCGCACTTGCGCCTCCCCCACGTCCCCCGTCACCACTGCACCTTGGTCTGTGAGCTTCACCACGGAGTAATGATGATCGTGGGGCACTGCTGTGTCGGCATACCGAGGCCCGTCCACCTGCCACGTGTCCAGCACTGTTGCTGCCCCCGCGGGCAACACTGCCAGCTCAGGAGATTCGGCTGATGATGGTGATGGTGATGGTGGTGGTGATGGTGATGGTGATGCGCTTTCCGCGTTTCCTCCCTCCTCCTCAGAGTCTTCTTGGGGTAACACTTGCAAGCTAGAATCAAGATACACTAGCTTCTCTATCCCTCCTTGCACTATCTGCTTCAGCAGCGCATTAATCGCCATAACCACCCGGTTCGAACTCGGCCCAGGGTACCACGCGTGACACCGGTCCCCCGCCACCGGAAACGACGGGATAGTTCGGAAAATAACCCTGCATTTAGCGGGCGCGGCGGCAAGCGCCCAGCGAGCAAACTCCTCGAGGTGCACTCGGAGCGCCTTGAGGGGCTGGCGGCAGAAGGAAGCTGCCCAGTAGCCTCCCTCAAAGAGCGTGACGTCAGCAGTGGGGGAGATTTCGGGGAAGGCCTCCGATCGGTTGGTGGTCTGGCCCCGATGGCTGGTGGTGGGGGGGAGGAAGAGGGAGAAGGGGTTGGGGAAAGAGGGGGGAGAAGAGGTGAGGGGGACAAAGGACTTTTGAGGCACCTCGAAAGCAGTGGGGGAGAAGGGACTTCAGGGAATTCCTAAGATTGGTTGGTGGTCTGGCCCCGATGGCTGGAGGGGAGGGGGAGGAAGAGGGGAAGGGGGTTGGGGGGGTGGAATGCGGTGGAGGGGAGGAGAGAGGGGTTGGGGGTGAGGGTGCAGGAGATGAGGCAAATCTGTGGTGATGCCTAGACTTTAGGGGGAGAAGGGGGTAGGGGCATGGGAAGGAAGGGGGGAGGCGGGGACTATGGAATGCGGGGAATGGAAGATTCTTCTAGGAGCCCATTTAAACCCATTCAAACCTATTCATGCCTTGGAAGAAACTCACGTGCAGCTGAATTCGCCACTTGTACAAATCCCATCAATCCAGCAGAGGGTCTCAGCGTGCGGTTGCTGCCATGCTATGCTACCACTCGCATGCACGCAGGTCAAAGCCCAGTCAAAGCCCAGTCAAAGCCCAGTCAAAGCCCAGTCAAAGCCCAGTCAAAGCCCAGTCAAAGCCCAGTCAAAGCCCAGTCAAAGACCATTCAAAGCCCAGTCAAAATCCCAGTCAAAGCCCATTCGAAGCCTATTAAATCACTCACGTGCAGCCGAATTCTCCATTCTTGTAGATCCCATCAATCCAGTAAAAGTTGATCCTGAGCGTGCGGTTGCTGCTGTCATCACGCGCGTATAACACCAGGTCGTCTTGCCAATGGATCACTTTGCCGTCCGCCTGTGCCGTGAGCAGGAAGGCCAGGTGCGCCGCTAGAAACCGCTGGTGGCTGTCCCCCACGATGCTGATCTCCCGAATGCCCCTCTCGTGTAGCGCGCCTATCCACTCCGATGGGGGGATTTCAGGGGGGGTGCACGGGTAGAAGGCCCAACTGGGGGAGTGGGGGAGGGGGAGGGGCACGGGGAGGGGGGAAGGGGAAGGGGGCGGGGGAAGGGGGCGGGGGAAGGGGAGGGTGAAGGGGAAGGGTGCTGCTATCCACTGGGATGGGGGAATCTCACTCACGGGCTGTGCACTGGTATCCGGCCAATCCTGCATTCCACACCCACCCACACGGCCACACACTGCCCGTCTACACCCAAATGCACATCTACACCCAAATGCACCCATCTACACCCATTTGCACCCATCCACACCCATCTACACGCACATACCTGAGTGACCCATCTGCCTTCACCACCCATCGCCCCGGCACTGACGTTCCCGAGCATGGATAACCCGGCCAATCCTGCTCCCCCTCCTGCTCCTCCTCCTGCTCCTCCTCCTCCCAATCCCCTTCGCCCGCCCCCTCCACTCCCCCCTCCCCCTGCCTCTCGCCTGCTGCTTCTGAATGAATGGCGGCTGTGGTCGTGCTGCTGCAGTCACCTGTGCTGCCGCTGCCACCGCCGCCGCTGCCACCGCCGTCGCTGCTGCTGCTCCTGGTGGTGTTGCGAACACTGCTGCCAACGCTGCTGCTGATGCTGCTGTTGCTGCTGCCAACGCTGCTGCTGCTGCCAATGCTGCTGATGCTAATCCCAGGAGTGCTGGTTCTGGCCAGCGCTCTGCCACGTGGCGTGACTGTGATTGGCCAGGAGGCGAGGCTGTGCTGGTGCGTGCGGTTGAAGTGTGGTCAGCGAAGGTTTTGGAGAAATTGAGATTTGCGCACCCCACGTGCAGCGTAGTCCTGGAAAGGGGGGAAGAGGGGGGGGGGAAAGGGGAGTGGGCGCCAGAGATTAGCACTGCGAATAATGATTGGGCGCAAAGCGAGATTTGAGTGTAACATGCCAAAAGACGAAACCAGAATCTTCGCAAGCAGCAGTATGGATCGCGTCGCGAACCAATCAAAGCCCCCCCACTCAAACTGCATGCCAACTGAAACCCTAAACTGGAGACTTCTTTTCAGGGTGCGTTCTTAGCCTGTGTCAAGCTTCCTGACACAAGGCTATCGACAGCTCCGATCGTTCCACGTCATCATCAATCGAATCTGAACCCTTCACAGCCTCATGTCAGCCCGCCTGACACAGGCTAAGAACGGACCCTCAGTCTTCGAGTCTTTTGGTGATTCGAAACCTACCCCTAAATCCTACCCACTTTGTTTCTAAACTGACAAATGGCAACTGTTTTCAGCGATCCAAAATGGGCGAAGGGGTTGGGCGGGATTCAAAGGTGGTGCCAAGGTTTGGCAGGCCAAGGTATGGGCGTGGTGTAAAGGAGCCAACCGAAAAGCACTTTGGTAAGGATTAGTGTGGAGATTAACTACAATTTGAGGCGCCTCGAAATTAGACTCACCAGAATTCGCCGAGGTCCCACACGCGGTACGACACTCTAAACTCCGTGCTATGCGGGGGGTCTAAACACCTAATGTCCCCGTGGGCTAGCGAGGCGCCTCTTAAAGTCACAGCCAAGTCGCGCTTCCACCAGCTCTCCCCAACCGCCCTCTTCACCGCCTGCTCCCAGCGCGCACACGCGGAAGGAGCAGCGCTGCCCGCGCACACACGTGGCGCAACCTGAGCCGTGGATCACCACTCCCGTGGGGGACGGGGATGCATAGTCTGCGGAGTGATATCATGGACATGGGAAGCAAAGGTAGGAGGCGAGAACGTGTTGTTGTATGAAGAGCGCTTTTCTTAGTGCCTCCAAAATTCCCAAAAGAGGAGGTGATGCATAGTGTGCGAAGCCATATGGACATGCAACGCAATTCATTTCTCCCATGTACATTGAAGTCTCACCTCAGGTGACATATGGACATTCCTGACGACGTCCAGCATACTCGTCGTCGTCGTCGTCGTCGTCTGAGCTGCGCCACGCGGTCATCGGAAACGTTGGAAGCCGCAACGCCAGTGGAGGTAGCGCCACTAGTAGCGGCGGCGCCAGTAACGGCGTTTCCCCCTGATGCGTCTGCATTGAAGGCGACAAGCAGCGGCTTTCGCAACGGCTTTCGCGACGATTGCGGGTCCCATTCGCCGCGTAGCCTTCCGTTCTCTCCTCCTGATGCCGCCAATCCCGCCATGCTGATGCTTTCCACGCCCGCATCGGGTCTGGACACGTATGGCAGTAACGATTCGGCTATAACGAGTACGAGGAGGAACGTCACGATGGAAACAAGCACGTGATACCAATAAATATGATACCCCAATCGAGGGCTCTTTTCCTCGTTTGTATTACCTCTGCTTTTGGGCCCGAGAGTCCCGAGAGTTGTCAACATGTGCGAAAACACACGAGAGACACGCGACATGTTCGACGTTGACGACGTTAACGACGGCACGGGGAGGGCAGGCGACGATCGCGAAGTGAGCTCAGGTGCGTGCGACTCACAGTCCGCAATCGACTCGGAAGTGTGTGTTTCACGATCGATTGAGTGACATCCGTACCCGTTCTACCTAGCCATGACGCCTACCAGACACCTGGTATGATGGGCGGAGAGATAATAGCGCGCCTCGAGAACTTAAAAGGTCTGACACACAGTTGTTACTACGTTTGACATTCTTTTCAACACAGGCTACATGACGATGATCAGAGTCTGTATGTGATAGACCAAACATCTCCCTTGCGAAGTTCAGAAGTTTAGACGGAGAACGGCAAGTCGGAGAACAGCAAGACGGAGAACGGCTAGACGGAGAACGGCAAGACGGAGAACGGCAAGGAAGGCTGCTGATACTTTTTTCGAATCTGAGCTACAAACAACCAATGGAGCGGACAACGAAAACTCCCGACCCGAGACAGCCGGCGCGCGCGCTGCCTTGACACCCGGATTTCCCCTCCCCCTCAAGTCAGAACAGAAAGCTTCTTCCAAGGTGGCCCTTCCAAAGGGGCAACCTGCTGCTCAGGGCGGGTCCAGCGCGTACGTTTACAGTTCATCCTGTGCGGTTGACCTTGTTGCGTCACGGTTAAAAATGGTGGAAACTGCAAATCGCTTTGAACCATTTAATATCGTGTTGCGCCATGAGTCATGAACTGTAAACGAACCGTAAACGTACGCGCTGGACACGCCCTCAGTGTCAGGTTTACTGACAGGAAGCCCTGAAAGGCGTGGATTGGATTTGAACTTGTCAGCACGGACGCGCCGCGCCGCTACATTTTCTCGGAGTTCTATTTCCGATGTCGACATTGGAGATAGGTCTAATAGTCTCTCACAAGAAAATCGGATATTGTCAGAGTTTTAAATTACAACTACCTGCTTCAATTCACATATATATTACATATAAAACAATAATAATGGGCATCCCGTTTAAGCAGCATACCAAGGAGCATAGGGACAGAGCAGCAGAGCAGGCGCGCAGCTAGAGTGCAGCCTCATGGAGTGGAGGGAGCAGGTGCAGCAGGTAATGAATGAAGACCCGTATTTGGGCTTGCCCCACTTCCCCCTCCATTACTGCGCCTTTAGGTGTGTATTGGACCATGGAGTAATGGCGGTCGTTAGGCTCTGCTGTGTCATAGCGAGGGGCGTTCACCTGCACTCCCTCCCTCCCTCTCTTCCTCTGCTGTCGGTTTCACCATGGAGCTTAGTGGCAAAAGACGCGTCCTGCGTCTAAGACGAGTGCGTCCAGACGCAGCGTCTTAGACGCAGGACGCATGATGTGGGCCTTTGAGACGCAGCAAAAGACGCAGGCCCGGGCAGGGCAAAAGAAGCCCCCGGGCAGCCAAAAAAACACGTTATAGGGCATGGGAAGGGGGGGGAGGACGACGTATCACACATGTGAGGCAAAAACATAGCTATGGAGCGAAAGGTAGCTAAACCCTCAAGGGTTTACGAAGGAGAATTGTGTGTGGGCTGTTTTTGATGGTCGAAATGGGTCTGGGGGTCGAAATTTCGCGACATTGACATTCGCGTCGAAATCGCGAATGTCAACTTCGCGATCGGGAAACAAAACAAAAAAAATCCGGTCAGCCCGAAAAAAATTATGCCGTGCGTCCTGCGTCTGGACGCGCGTCCAGCGTCCCTGCGTCCGGACGCTGCGTCCAGACGCAGGACGCATGACGCGCCCAGCGTCTTTTGCCACTTAGCCATGGAGTAATGGTGGTCGTGGGGCACTGCTATGTCGGCATACCGAGGGGCATCCACCTGCCCTTCCTTCCTCCCTGCCTCCCTCCATGAGGCAAGCAGCTATACAGATCTCGTTTGGAGTGGAGGGAGCAGGTGCAGCAGGCAATGAACGAAGACCCGCACCATGGAGCAATGGTGGTCGTTGGTTGGGGAGAGCAGAGCAGAGAAGAGCAAGCAGCTATAGAGCACTAGTGTGGAGTGGGTGGGGGCAGCAGGTGCAGCAGGTAATGAATGAAGGCGCGCACTTGAGCTTCCCCCACGTCCCCCACCACCACTGCCCCTTCTGATGTGGGCTGGACCATGGAGTAATGATGGTCGTTAGGCTCTGCTGTGTCGGCATACCGAGGTCCGTCCACCTGCCACGTGTCCAGCACTGTTGCTGCCCCCGCGGGTAACGCTGCCAGCTCACCGGATCGGCCTGGTGATGGTGATGGGGATGGTGATGATGGTGGTGGTGATGGTGATGGTGATGGTGATGGTGATGGTGATGGTGATGGTGATGATGGTGATCCTGCTCTCTCCGCGTTCTCCCCTTCCTCTTCAGAGTCACGTGGTAACACCTGCAGGCTGGAATCGAGATACACCAGCTTCTCTATCCCTCCTCCACTTCCCCTGCCTCCCCCACCAACATCCCCCTCTTGCGCCCCTCCTACTTTCCCTCCCTCTAAGATCTCCGAACCCCTCCTCTCTTCCCCCGATCCTCTCCCCTCCCCACCAACTCTTCCCCCTTTCTCCCCCGCTCCTCTCCCCTCC